CTCATGACACATTTTTGACAAAGATGACATCTACTATCTGTGCCCAGTGAGACACAGAGATATACAAGAACTGATGCTTCTTGAGATTTGTATATCTGTCCTCATGAGAGGTAAGACTGGCTTATTTGAGAGCCATCAGCTTTGCAGAGAGTCTTTGTTGCTGTAACAAATCCAGGGGCCAGACCCACAGTCAGAGTTTAATGTATCTCTGTGCAAAAGTGATAAGATTTTATGAAAGCATTACTTTTCTGGGTGAACTTCACCATCTTGGTTTAGTCTAATAGCTAATGTGGGCTATGATTGACAGCTAACGTGCCTACAGACATTAATTAAAATTATCTGGAATTAATTAACTTGCTGAGATAATAGTAACTATATAGACCTCACTGCATGAGGTGTGACAGGCTGTAAATACAAGCAGTATCCTCAGCTGTATATTTTCAGGCTATTAAATACAAAGCACCTGAAGTCTTGCTGAGAAGTTAGAGAACATCTATTCCAGTAGCAAGGGGGCTGCCAAGATCTCGTTGGCAGCCTAACTTACCATGGAAACTTCTACTGACAGTAACATGCAAGGCAAAAAAGCATTTCCTGCTCACAGAGGTCAGGATAAAAAAGATAGAGTTGACAAGTGATAAAAATGCTGAATATACTTAATTTGAAATCAGTTAGGAATAGAAATGTGAAAGTGAACTAGGCCAATCTACCAGCAATTTTCAAGGAACTCCAACAAAAGGATGATAGGAATTCTTGAAAGGTGAAGCAACTGTTTTTTTTTCACTATCGGTTTTCTGATTAGCCTTTCTCTACAAATTAGAGAACAGACTTGCTTTTCAAAGTTTATGCCTGGCATGCTTTATTATCATCTTTTGATCAAGAACTAAATACTGAAAGCTCAAATCGTTTTTTCCCCCTTAAACCAAAGCTATGGGTCTGTGACATTATAAATCTATCTTTCCCAAGTGATGGTCTTCAGAAATTAAATTGAAATTATATAAAATGTGAGCTTTTTTTTTTCTCTGCTAGGCATCATATGGATGTGAGTGACAATCCCCACAAATACACATCAGACACATTAGTTGCCTTGTTGACTCTTACCTTTCTTTTGAGAGGAATTCCGAAAATTAACTGTCTCCTGTTAACAGATTCATTCCTAATTTCACCCATATAACAACTTGTGAAACCTGATTATTTTCATGCCTTTGGGATAATGAGCTTTGTGCCCATGTGTAAGTGTTCTATGTGTGAAGAAAAAAAAAAAAAAAAGCAGCTCAGTGTACTTCTGATTTTTCTTGGGGCACACTTGAGCTAGCTAATGTTTAGTTTGGAGATGTTTCTAATTACCTGTTTGTTTATATGTAAGTGCTCATTTCAAATGTGTGAGACAATTTAGGATTTGCTTCCTTGGTAGAATCCCTCCTACTTTTTGTGATCATGAGAGAATGAATTAGGTTCCGGGTGGTTATCCCATCATCTGTGGATTATAATTACTAGTCACTTAGAATTAATTAATTTTCATTGTGGCATTACAATGTGTAGACTGTCCCATAAAACTGGAGGCAGTTTTCTATCCTAAAGAACTTTCAACTTACGTATAAAATAGGAGATGAATACTGCAGAGACATGACCGTGTGGTACTGAGGATAGATGCTACAGCTGGTGGTAGGGGGCAGTCACGATGCAGCATATATCCAAACATTATAAATGTGTTTTAGACATCAGGGTTTTGCAGGCTTTTATTGAGTGGTATATCTCAATGTGCTTACTGAAAAATTGGGCAAGTGGGGTCAGGTTGAGGCTTGCTTGACAAGAGGTGGGAGCCATTTTTCTTGCTCATAGTATCAAAGAAAAAATGTGTGAGAAGGCAAATGGAAAGACTTCTGAAGTAGAGCTAAGTAGCTTTGCTCTACTTACTTCCTCATGTTTACTACATTGGGAGAAAATAAGTTCAGTTCCTGTGCTGATGAAACTTATCATTGTGGCAAATCCATTACTGGTTGTTCATTCAGTTTCTGCCTCAATATTTAGGAAGTGGCACTTGGTCAATGCATTTTATATTTTTAAAGAGTTCAGAAGAAAGCTGCTTGTTTTATAACAGCTGTAAAGAGAGTCAGCTATACAGCTCCCTGAACTGTTTGTTGGTCTAATAGGTGAAGGGCGTAAGAAAAACAACATAAAATTATAGGTGGACAAATAAAAACAGAATGTGCAAAATGTTTAGTGCCCTGTGTCAACTAATAATACCAAGACTATGCATTCAGTCCCCATATAGGCCATTCATTTAAGAGCTGAACTTGATGATTCTTGTGGGTCTCTTTCAAGAATATTTTGCAATAAAAAAACCCCTGTGATTATATCTGCAAAAGAGACATGGTACACTCTATATTCATTACAGTATCTCAAGACCCTTCTGGGATTACAGTGGTTTCTTTTTTATCTGGCCTGTACAATCAAGATTTCTGTAAGGAATCCTGAAATTGTTCAGCTGTTTTATGAGAAAAAAATGTCTGGGAGACAGTAGCAAAATACAGTTTTCCAAACTTATTCAAGTGCCTTCTGTGTCCTAAGGATGTCTTTTCTGTGAGTTCTCTTAAGGAGAAATGGTAGCAATTTCCTAGACAAACCTGCATTTACTAATTTATAGAATGGTTATTTTTTAATAAAGGTTTGAATTAACTGAAGAGTCGTAAGTCTAAAATGGTTTTTTTCACATTAATTGAAACTCGAAGCCTTAGCATTTAGGGACTTGATCCACAAATACTATTAATGTAGAGCTTATAATTTAAACTCCTGCATTAAATTATTTTTTGCTTACAGTAAAAAGTACTGTGCTAAAAGCAATCAATGTCACAGGATCAATTCTTCTTTCTCTATTCCTATCAGAGTTGCAAATGGTATATGCAAGTCACATTAAAAGTATCTTGGTTTTTTTTTGTTTTTTTTCTCTGTCTTGTCTTTTCCTGCAGATTTCTTTCCATTCTCATTGTAGTTCCTGCCTCTGACATTGACATATGTCTTTGAAACATAAAGCACCACATGGTCCCAGAGCTGAGACTTTTTCCATCCACATGACTCTCAAGCAGAGACCTGTGAGCAGTTACTAAAAGCAGCCTCACAAACAGCAGTGCCTGGAGGCACGTGTTTAAGTGTTTTTATTATCCCAGTGGCATAAGGCTTAGGAATTTTTGAGCAGGATCAACCTTGAAAAATTTCCAAAGAACTGCAGGTGCTTCTCTGTTAAGGAGTTCCCTCTATACAACATGGGTTAGGAGCAGTTTTAAAGCTGGTTTGCTTGCCTGAGCAATGCCTAAACTTATGCTAGATCAGAAAGAGTATGCCAGGAAAATGAGCTCAAAGTGGGGAGCTAAAGTCTCTTCAGCCATCCATATAAGTTCCTCTTGCCTGGGTCCCTTGGGATATGCTGTCCCAAGGGAATAGATAATTGACTTTCAAAGTAGAGGGCCTGCTAGTGTTCACCCTGTGCAGTTGACTCTCTACACTAAATATTAGGATTAAGGAATAGGGTATGCAATGCACCTTTCAGTGGAAAGTGTGATGGTGGCTCGCTGGGACACAGTACTGAGTTTTAGTTGTTTATCTACAAGGTGGTGGGAAGAAGGACGTGGTAGGAAAAGAGACAAATTATAATCATAAGTAGAAATGGGGCATAATCCAGGCTATATGATTATATTTTCACTGTATCCACTCTGAAAGCATATTTAGTGCTTAGCTTACAATGTACAGTTATTTTTAAGCATGGGTTTTTTCCAGTTTTTTGAATCTTTTCAACAGCCCACAATTTTGAAATGGGATGCTCTTCTTAGGATTAGCATCTGGACAATAATCTTGTTTCCCTGTCTCAATCCATTTTAGAGTTAAGTGTGTCTTGCTGAAGTCCTAACAGCTGCCTATCGTTGTGCTTGGGCTAGCTCTACTAAAAAAGTTTTTCTACTCAAGGATTTGAAGGGTGACTTGAGTTGCAGAGAACTGCTGCTGTTCCTGCCCTGGGCATGTAGAAACAACATCAGTCGGGAGTACTTTCCTAATGTGATGCTGCTTCCAGGTAGGAGGAAAATAACAAGGAGGCACATGCATCCTACACGTAAGAGCGAAAGAAAGGGAGAGAAAATAAGTTTAACATTTCTTCTCAGTTCATCTGACTAAAACATCTGACAAAGTTCTTTATGTCTCTAAGTACGTGCTCATATAGCATCATCAAAGGAAACACACAGGATTCAAAATAATTGAGAGAATCAAACAGCTGTGTTAGCAAAAAAAGAACAACAAAAAAAAAAAAAAGATAATGAAATGTGTTTTCCTTCTCAGAATCAGACGAGCACTATGTTTACAAAAGGATCTGAAGCACATCCATATTGAAACATTTTCAGGCTTTACCTGACTCTCCCAGCGCACAGCCACTGGCTACCTGACCCAGGGCTAAAACAAATAGTTTGAAGAGACAGGAAGATTAAGCAAGCTTTCCAGCCAGTCTCTGGCAGTGGCATTAGTACTTCCGTGTCCTGAACGTAATTTGAAGAAAGTGAAAACGTCATCATCTTTACTCTGCTTTAAAAAGGATATAAAAATACACCATGTATTTCTACTTCAGAAAGTGAAAGTCACAAATATTTGAAGTATTTAGGAAAGGACTATCCAGATTATTGTTTAGGATCCCTAATGACTGTCATTAGCAATAATAATTATAAAATTAGCCGGTAAAATAACCACCTTAAAAAAAGGAATATGAGAAAAAACTTGCTAATTGTGAGACATTTTAAAATGTTAAAGAGTTTCGTGGGATGTGGCAGAAACTAAATGATGTGAAGCATTTAAAATTTGCCAAACCAAAGCATTCAGAAACAGATATACAATACAAAGCAATTTTGTATTGTTGGGGTTCAACTGGTTATCTGCTTACTATTTCTAAAGATCTCACTTTGAGAAAAAATAAATTAAATATAATTATAAACCCAAAGTATCTGTCTTGTTTTCTTTTTCAGCACAAATTGAAGTGATACCATGCAAAATTTGTGGTGATAAATCCTCTGGAATACACTATGGAGTCATCACATGTGAAGGCTGCAAGGTATGAGATTTTAATACAGCATAGTCATGACCATTCGCATTAGCCTCAGGCACCTGTGTACAATGATACACTCTTACAAGCCTTCAAACAAGTGGTGCCGAAGGCTGTAAAGCCTACTGCCAATAAAGATGCATTTCATGCCTGATTTTCCTAGCTGATTTCCATTTTATCAAATAGTCTTTAGAGCTACCTCCTTGTTTGAAACATGAATTAATTACATCTGATGCAGTGTAAGTGCTGACACCAACAGAGGCTGGCAACTGTAAGTCATACCTGTTCTACCTTAAATAAGCATTGAAAGAGGTGGATTTCTTATCTTGTTTCCTGTACAAGCCATGTAGCATTACCGTTGGCATGTTACTTCTGGTCAGCCTTTTTTAAGGGCTTACTGGTGTGAGTTTGGTCCTTTTTTGTCTCCTTTTGCACAATCTGCAAACCAAATTGTAATCTCCAAAAGAAAGAATGCCTCACATAATGAGCAGTGTCTTCTTATTCATAAGCTTTAGTGCAGGGGCAATTGCTGGGAACTGGATGTTAAAAAGAAGGGCAGAGGGTGGAGATGCGTAGACTTGCTGCTTACACATACCAACATATTATCTCAGGCATTAGTTCAAATGACACAAATCAGATACAAGCAAAGAGAAGAAAGGCTTAAATTTTAAATTTTAAAATTTCCCTGTGATTTTATTATCTAAGGAATTATGATATTACTCATGCAGTTTCAAACTATACGTTGATATTTCAGTTTTAATTGTATATGGGAAATTACAAAGATGGAGAGGCAGCATCTCTGATTTCTTGCACATGGAAACACACAAACTGGGACATTTGAAAATTAGTGCCTATTTGCAGAGTGAAATCACAAGTCTGTACCTAACACTTTACAAAGTATTAGAACAGCTGAAAAATCTGAAAATTTGGGTCATCCATTTGCAAGAGAAATATTTTAATGCCAGTACACTGAGAACCAGCTGGTAAAGATTGAGGTTTTTTTCAGGAACATTAACCATTGTAAGCAGAACAATTTGCAGTGTGTCTTTGTCTTACTGTGGCACTGGACTAGAAATAAACTTCTTATGACGACCACATGAAACAGAATTAAACTAATTGATCAGTTACTTCAAAATTGGCACAAAAGTTGAAAAAGAAAATTACTTTAAGCAGTAAAAGCATCTTCTCTCAGTACTCAGAGCCCACAGACTGTCTAGCGGTATAGTCTCCTGTAGAAGTAATTAGGGTTAATGTTGGCCCTTGTGTGTGCCTCAAGAGATGATACCACTGTGCTCTGTGAGTAGACTGCTTATTGAGATAAAGAGATTCTCTTCCACTTATAACAGTTTTAACCCTATTGGGTTTGTGCCAGTTTTGCTGTATCAGATCAATTAGTCTAATCCTGTTTTGTGAGCCTGTGTGAAAAAAAGGTGTCGGTTTTTCACATCAGTTCCACTGGGAGGCATCTCACTCTGTCAGAGCTCCCTGTTAAGGTAAGCACTGTTTTTGGCAGTGCAGCTCTGCTATCCATTTAAGTGCTCAGCATTTACATAGCTATTCACTCAGCCTTCGTACTGGTCATTTCTGACTCTTTTTTTCTTAGTTTGTTGGAAACCTGATATGATTAAGAATGGAGGCCATGTTTGGAAGAAAGAGGGTAGAGTCACTCCACAGGCATGCACACATATTGAACCAGAGGCAGCGACAGCATTTCAGCATATAGCACCCAAGAATTACAGTGCCAGTGGCAGTGCTACAAACTTCAAGGAGAAGAAAATCCTTTAACTCAGTGTCCCTGTGTTATCTATGTTGCTGCAAGTCCATATTCTAAGTGCTTAAGGGTCATCTGAAATATTGCTGTTGTTTTGCAGGCACGCCTGCCTTATGCTGAGCATGCATATGCAGTGGGCCTGCCGGACCCACTGAGTGAGTTTGCAGCTCTGACACTATTCTTACAGAAAGGGTGAAACCTGAAGATGAATTTGTGTCGCTCTATCTCTATGGCTGCTTCTTCATTAAGCCTTTTATCACTTCTTATGCCTACTCCCAAAGCTAATTACTGTCTAACGCTGTTTTGTCATGACTTAGAAAGTAGTTCATTCAGCAATTTCCTTTCTCAGACTGGCTGTGGATGGTGGGTGAAGGGATTTGTTCAAGGTGCAGAAAGACTTGTTGTCCATGTTGGGAGTACTGGGAAATTTTTATCTCTTTAGCTCTTCAGTAATGAAATACATCTTCCTTCCCACAAAATGGAATTATTCTGATGTAGAATAATGTGGCCAAATCTATAGAAAAATACCATAAAAATAAAATTAAAGAATTATCTCTACTTTACAGGACAACATTTAGATTTACGCAGGAAAATGAGAACATAAAAGTCTCCTGAGAAAAATTAATTACCTGCTGTAAATTAATAATGATACATAATATATTTTTTTCCTAAGGAAGGCAAAGATGAAACAAATTCCTCTGAGATGAGATCAACCTTAAAGCGAACGAAAAAGTAATGCAGGAGAAGGCATTGTCAGTGCTAAATGGTTGTGTGTGTGTTTTTTTAACATTGCTGAATTAATTTGTTCTCTGAAATCCATAGATGTTGCTAAAGTCTAAAACTGAAAACAGAAAGCCCTTCAGAAGTCAAAACCAAGTTTGGCTATAAAGTTCAGCAAAGACATCTGCAATCAGCATCCATTTAGTGTTAGATTAAAGGCACCTCTACCATATCAGGAGAGTTTTGGTCAGCTAAAATCAGTTAAGTTTCCACCAGGATTTTTCTGAGAGTTCCCCCAAATGACATCTGTTTTCTGAAAAGTACAAATCATAAAATTTAGTTTATATTTTAGATACACTTTAATCACTAATAGAACAAGCTCAAACCAGTTCAAGTGGGTCTCTGTGATCGACTCCAAGAACCTGACAGTGTCCTTGGTGGAGCACTGTGCCTGTCCCTGTTACTGACACCCCACACCACCCTAACTCAGCTCGCCAGGAATTTCTCTGAGTGAGAATTCATGTATACGCTGTAGCAGATAAATTGAGGCTTGTAGCACTGTCATCTTGTGACTTCATCCGTTGCTCTGTATTAACATCCCTCAGCCTGTGCAGAGATACACTATGTTTTCCTGATAGATGAAGTGAACTGTTGCTTTCTGGCTTCTTTCCAAGGTGTTTGCAAGCCACCCCCGAAACACACAAGTACTTTGGTGCCAGTTCTGGTGACTGGTGTAACTGTGGCAATTTCTGCAAAACTGCAGATATTTCTGCTATTTTACTACTCATAGCCTTCTGCAGTGGCCAGGCTACCCTTCAGCTTTCCCACTGCAACCTACAGCTGCTTGCATTTAAAGTTGCCAAACTGGATAGGGAACTTCTCTATTTTGTTTTTTCCTCTCTGGACTTGCAGATACTCTGACCTTTTTTTATTATTTATTTATTTATTTAGTATAGATCTACTTATTTTTGTTTCTCTTCACCCCTTGGTTTCATTCCTCTTGTCACCTCATCTGCTTCATGTCACTTCTACCATAACAGTGCCTTTTGGGGCTGCTCTTGGCACCACCTCATAGCAGCTGGAAGCTCATAGGAACTTAGGTGTATATACTTCCTCTCCAGCCCTCAGATCCCTACAAAAACAGCCCATGGAAAATGCCATTACATTCTTATGGTAGTATCTAAAGGTGTTGCTTTCTCCTTTGTGTGTTGATACAGTCATTATATCCTAGTGCTTTTGAGAAGACTGAATTTTAATTACTTCACTCCTGAATCTTATGCCTCTCCAGATCAACATTTGCCATGTTAAAGTGAACAGGAGACTTCAGCTTCTCATGCTATGTGTACCCAGTAGCAGTTACCAGTCTCTTCATTAAAGGGAGAAATGTCAAAACAAGTACTTTGAAGTCATCTCTTACAAATGCTGACAAGTTTTTCCTCTATTAGGAGCAAGTATTAGAAGATACAGGGTCATTATTGCACAATAAAAATGCATTCTGTAACATTATTTAGGTTTTAACAAAGTAGAATTGTATTCTTTACAGAATAATATGCAGTTCTCCTTATTATAATTAAATGTTCTTTCATACAATACCACCATATCTGCAGAGCCACAGCATAAATAGTAATGCACTAAATAAGGGTTTACTGTAGTTTTTTGCATGCACATCTGTGTGTGTGTCCTCATGTGTGCACATGAGATAAAAACGCTCATGGTAATACTTGGTCTTTCCTGCTCTCTCGCCCCAAGGGATTCTTTCGGAGGAGTCAGCAGAACAATGCATCCTACTCCTGTCCAAGACAGAGAAACTGTTTAATTGACAGAACCAACAGAAATCGTTGCCAGCACTGCCGACTGCAGAAATGTCTTGCCCTGGGAATGTCTCGAGATGGTAAGGAGTCAAATCCGTGCTTCACATCTAAGCCCTTTGAAACTTTTCTTCATGGCTGACTTACTTAAACTCCCTGTAAATTTCTGCAAAAAGAGAGAGGAGAAGCCCCATGTTCTGTACTGTCTGCACTTGAGATGATCTTTGCCATCCCGTTAACAAAGAAGGCTGTTTTTGTGGAGAAGAGTGGGGAAAATCACGAAATGGAGATCAGTATTAGTTTAGAACAGAAAGAGTCAGAAGTTAAATACGTTATTCTAATCAAAAGCACAGAGCACAGAAAGGTCACCTCTGAAGAGGTGGGTTTATATTAAACGTTACTTTAAACATCAGCATTTATCTTAGTATTTAATATTGATATGTGAAAGCATCCATTTCCCTGAGATCTCTAAAGGTCTGGTAGTAAGGAGGCACAACCCTATACAAATTTACGTCTTCATAGCATTAGGGGTTTCTGTATTATTCAGAGCACTTGCCCAAATGCTTTGCATTGGAAGAAACCCCATTTCTTTTACTTGCCCACTGCCTCCTGTTCCTGTCTGGGTCTAGAGAAAAACATTTCCTAATTTAGCACAGAAAATGGATCCTATGCCAGAGGAAAACTCCACAGTCTATGCCATCTCAGGATCTTGTGGGAGAGCTCTGGTCCACCTTCCAATCTGTGGTGTGATCAGCCAAGAGCAGCAGACTGAGAATGTGCATCACACATCACACCAAAACTGCAGACAAGGGACGCTTGGGCAAGGCTGTCCACAGATGACATGCCCTCACCTCGTGCAGGGGGTTTCCAGTTCAAGGACTTGTTCTATATAGTCAGAAAGTATTAGAAGAAAATGTTCCAATTTTTAAACACAGTTTATATTAATTTCATTTTTCTGGAAGCAGTTTTCTCTCTTAAAAGGTTTACACAAAATGTGTATTTTGAAACTAAGTTATTGATGGAGAAGTTCCTTAAAGAGCTATTTATTTGGATGGTCCACACACTATAAACTTGTTTAAAATTTGGGCCATAATAGATCTTCTTCTGCCTCAGTGTGTCTTACATCTCATTGAAATTACTCATTTACTAGTCTTACCAATTTGGGAAGGGCCTTGCAATCTGGCCTTTAATCCATGAATTATTTCTGGTCCTAGCATCCTACCTTACTTCCTAATTCTTCATGGTGATTTTTAGAAGTAACATTTCAGCAATTTAACAGCACATACTTTTCTCCTGAGAATAGTATCTTCCAATGATTTAAGGTATTGTAGGGGCATTTTAATGTGACTGACAGTGTTGTCTTCCCAACCAGTAATTCAGAGACCACTGCGAAGACACAAAATTAGTGATTCTTCCAATAGCATTGCTTTGTTCTCTCACAGTTTATATAAGGGTCTTTATGATTTTTTGGGATTAAAAATATTAAGAGTTCTTGCAAATTTGAAATTGGATGTGTGAATTTTGACAGAAAACTTTAATTTGATTTTTACCTCTCAGCCATGTAATAAATTCATTTTTATCAAGCAGAGGCAGGATGCTAATTGACGGCAGCTGGAGAATCCAATTAATGAATATATAATGAGGATAAACAGTGGATATTTGATTTTATTACTGAGGCCCTAAATTTGAGGTGAAATACACAGTTGCATTATTCAAAATTATTTAAAATACAGTCATTGTATATTGTCTGTAAGAGTATGCAGCATACCATGCACTGACTGATTCCAGGGGCAGGCTGTTTATGTGAGGTAGCTTGTAGCCTGAGTGTAGGGCTGCAACTAAATTGAGGTTGGCAATAAGAAAAAAAACCCTCTTGGTGTAAAAAAAAGTGAAAATAAATCAAAGCAACTGTCACCTTGCTGTTCTGGCGCTGTATTTTCATATTATGCTCTACCTTTTCTGGGGTTTTTTTCCTGATTGAAGATTTTCACATTTATCCACACCTAGGTTCAAACTCTTCTCAAGGTCTAAATGAGAGTCCTGTGCTAATAAATATGATTCTGAATTGATCCAAATTTCAAACGGACTGGAAATATACCTCATAATACATAGAATTCTATTTTTGGGTCTATGTCCCTTTACCTGTTCTGATGAATTCTGCTGAATGTATCTCTCATTTGTTTTAGAGCACAATCAACAACTGCCTCTACTCTAAGATCCCAAGATCTAGCCCAGTAAAAGACTTGAATTTATAGAGAGATGGGGGTGGAGAGTGATAATCAGCTGTGATCAGCTGTGTATATGCAGGCTATGAATTTACTCCTCCTAGTTCCACAGCAATCAGCCTGTCACCTTTGAAAATTTCAATCTCAGTGTAATGAACCCTGTTTCTGGGGAAAATAGTTTGCCCTCTTATATTTTCCTCCCTTTCTCATCAGAACGAGTGCATGGATTTGTGCATAGAGATTATTAAAATGGAGATTGCATAAATCCCTAAGACTTTGCTCAGTGGAAAAGATGACATTCATTTGTGCTGTTTACCTTCAAATCTGTTATTTTCCTCTAGGTTTTAACCTGTAAGATTTTTTTTAATTTATTTTTTTTTTAAGTAGGAAGATAACGCCCCATGGAAAGGATGTGATAATAACTCTTTAGGGCTTGTTTTCACCCAGAATACTAATCTTGTTAGTGTACTGTGTAAAGGTTTGTGGAAAGTTAGTAAATGGATATGAATTTACAGACTAGACATTTCATACAGCTCTGGGTTGTTGTTCAGTGAACACAGAGATATAAAAGGATGCAAGGTCTTTTTAACATTCAGAGTGGGAAGTGAATTGCTTGACTGAGGCCCTCCTGTCAAATAGGAGTCATTGTTGTCACCTGGTAAATTCACATACACAATATTTTTTCTTTATGAGATGCTTGTGATGTAAAGCTTTGCGTCCTTTCTTATTTCCACAAAAAAAAAGATGTTTCCACAGCAAAATTTACCCTGAAAGTTAACATGAAAAGAGTGGTGGGGTTGAGGGAAATCGAGAAAAAATTAAAGACGACAATGGTTCGCATTGTGCTTTGCTTTTCAGCTGTGAAATTTGGAAGAATGTCCAAAAAGCAGAGGGATAGCTTGTACGCTGAAGTGCAGAAGCACCAGCAGCGACTGCAGGAGCAGCGGCAGCAGCAGAGTGGTGAGGCAGAAGCCCTCGCCAGGGTTTACAGCAACAGCATCAGCAATGGCTTGAGCAATCTGAATAACGAAACTGGCAGCACCTACTCAAATGGTCATGTCATCGATCTGCCGAAGTCTGAGGGCTATTATAACGTGGATTCTGCCCAGCCCTCCCCAGACCAGTCTGGGTTAGACATGACTGGAATCAAACAGATAAAGCAGGAACCTATCTATGACCTCACCTCTGTACCAAACTTATTTACCTGTAGCTCTTTCAACAACGGGCAATTAGCTCCAGGGATATCCATGAGTGAAATCGGTAAGGAAAATTCTTATTCCTGTAATGCAATGTGTATATATAAGCTAAGCTCCTGTCTTCATTAAAATGTCATACAGGCATTCCATACACAGATATGCAATAGTTATATGTTCACACATGCGTGTGCACACACATACAGAGAGAAAAGGAAAGAAAATTAGTCTGGAACTAATTGACATAATATTAAGGCAGCTCTGTTTTTACTAAAAATTATGCAGTTCTTAAACCCAGCAGTTCATTTCTGGTTATTGAATAGAAGCATCAAAGCAGGTGATGAATCAATCATAACCAAGTGATAATTAGGAAGGGGCTTGTTTCAAATGAGCTCATTACTGGCAGGGCTAAATGATCTCTTCAGCCAACCATCCGTATTCTCGTCAACACCCAAAATCGCCATAGCTGCTAATTCTAGGGTGCTTACTGTGAAAAAGTACCAGTTCATACTTCAGCTACATGGATGTCAATGCAGAGCAAGTTCACTAAATTCATGTGGTGCACAAACTCTAAATGTATTTCTGCGGATATCCCTGCTTCTCTGCCTGAAGGCTTTGGAGAGCTTCTCCCTTGCTTTCGGCTTTAACAAGTGACAGAGATGTCTCTGTGAGGAGAGACTGTTAGAAAAGCAGTGACTAACAGTGATTTCTGTCTAAGGAGAATGAATTTCTGTTCATCTCGTCCTTCTAGCTGTATTTCACCAAAGCCACTGGAAGTACTACTTCTTTTACAAAGAAATAACGTGAACAAAGATAGGCATCCCAATTAGGTACACCTGAAGAAGTGAAATATGCTGAATCAATTGTGGCTGAGAACTTCATCAAAGGGTAACACTTTGTTAATGGAATTTAATTAAAAAGAAAGAAGAAAGAAAATAAGTCGTCTTCAAGAGCACTCCTAACAAATTAATTCATTTCGAATCCTGAGAAAACCTCTATAGTTCTGGCCTAAGTTTGCTGTCTCTCATGTACATGGATATATACTGAGATCTGTAAATGTATGTGTGTGCTCAGGCCTACTGGGGACCCTGGAGATACAGCCTCCACTCAATATAGATTGCAGTGATGGGATATATAGTAGTTACTGTCTGGTAAGAAATGAAGTTGCAGCTAAAACTGACAGCATGTTTTCTTCCCATGTGTGCTCATGTGTAGGGGGCTCTATAACACATTATGTGCTTTAGTTGCAAATTGTTCAGGAGAAAGTTAAACTTTCCTGGCACTCTGTTTATTAAGACATGTTTATTTATCACATTTGGTCTAGGCCACTGTCCAGTAAAACTATTCACCCACAGTGTAGGATTAGAGATGAACATTTGCTCCAGCTTCCCTCTCAGCCCTCATGGCCGTATGAATATTACTCACATGTGGCTTGTGCATACCTCAGTCCTGCAACAGTGGGTCACACTACTGCAAACCAGCTGAGAGGGATTTAAACAGTCCTTAAGAGCTTTTTCCCTGCAGATCCAGTACTAAACAGAAGTGTTACCAGAGAGACTCAGAGGAGGTCCAGAAATGCAGGAGTTCTGATAGTCCATGAATTCGGATTTGTGCTTAAATTACAGAAAATTAGTGCAAAGACAGAATTTGGCCATAGGACTATATCCTTAGTGACCAGGGAATCCCCCTAAAGTCAATGGGACCTTTTGACTTCAGAGTTTTATCTTTTTAACTTAAAACTTTAACTTAACTTTAGCTTTTTAACTTTAAATCAAAGTTTTATCTTTTTAATTTAAATCAATTTACGTTTTATCTCTTGCAGGTTCCTTCAAAAATAACGCATCATTCTTAGTTTTTCACACTTTTTTTCCTCTCCTAGCTCTAAATCATCCAACCCTAAATCCACCCCACATTTCCAAGTTTTTTCATTTTCTTCTGACACAAAGCAGGAAAAAACCCAGAGCAGAGGGAGCGCTACATAGCAAATAGCCTGTCTCTGAGCTGACAGCAAAATTCAGATGCTCTGGGATTTACCTCTCTTCCTTTCCAAATGGAAACTAGGGCTCCTAAATTGCTATGATTTTACACAAGTACTGCCATCTGTCATTTGTGGCACTTACAGCAGAGGGGTAAGGGTAACAGTGAGAGATAATGTAGTGTAACAAATCAGCTGACACAACTGGAATAGACGCACCATAAAATATTTGGATTAGTGCACAGGCAAATGATGTTTTCAGTGTTTAAAAAGAAGTAGAAAATGCCTCTTAATGCTGCAGCGGATTGTTGGACCATCTGTAGAGCTGCAGTCTTGCAGTCCTGGGATGTACTGATTTCATATTACAGTGTGCTTAAATTTCATTGCAGAATTGCATCTCACTCAAGTGACATTTAGGAATAAACTCAACTTATGCTAAATAGACATTACTGTTTTTAACTGTTGGATGAAATCGTACAGAATATGTAGGAGATAGAAAAGCTATACTGCATTGCTCCTTGTGGCTGATACAAATAGCTTTGTACCAACATGTCTAGTGATCTAGTGAACCACTAAGTATCCCAGATCATGATAGCTCTTTTCTGCACTGATTATTTTCTACCAGACAGAAATTTCCAGTCTTAGCTTTCTTCTGGCCCTTACATTCTTCAAATAAATATATGTATATAAGCACAACCTCAACTGCCACTTGCCTGATCTTGAGTGCAATCATCTTTTTTTTTTTTTTTCCTCATGAATGAATGTGTGGGAACTTCTTTCATCCTTGAGTTCCTAGAAATTGCTGTAAGCTCTCCAAGGAGCAGGCTTCTTCACAAGCACTCAGAACAAAAGTAGTCTATGCAGTTTCTGCATTACATGTCAGCCGAAATCTAACTCACTTACTCCTTTGGTGTTAATGCTTTTGCTTGTTTCAGACTCACTTCTCTCCAGTGTAGGGCATTTTTTATTAAGATATAGTTGACTGTACATTTCCAAGTTTGAATCTCATTTTCTCTTTCTTATTTTTCTAATCTTTTCAGTCCTGTGACATTATGTGTCAGTCTTCGTTGATGCTTTGTGACTTCATTTGGTTTAGAATTGTCACTTAATTAGCATGCTATGAGCCTTCTCTTTCAGATTATTATGAAAATGTCAAATACTTGTAAAACAAGTAGTAATAATGGCCCTTGCTGCACCTGACCAAAACACTTGCTGCAATTGCATATATTACTTTAGTATTTGGCTTGCTATTCAACAGTAAGTTCTCTGTAAAATCCAAGTAACAAGTCTTCCTTTCCCTGTCAGTTTGATTCAGTTATAAAAATATTTTCTAAGATACTATATGACATAATTTACACATCATTTGCATACTCTTCTTCACATGTTAATTTTCTAGTTTCACCAAAAACTAATCTAAATAGTTAGAGTTACTTTGATCTTTAACAGTTTTATGCTTTCATTTGAATGTGAAAGTGTTCTTTTTCATGAACATATATTCATCTACAGAAGACTTTGTAGTGGAAATGGAAATTGTCCAACTTTACAATTTTGAAATGCAAAATTTTTTTACACAGCAACTGTTTTGACACATAGTATTAGAACGGAATGGCAAGGAAAATATAGCTTATCTTGTATTGCATGCTTACTGGTATCTATATACTGTGCTAGTAAATAGGTGTAGGAGAAAAACATGCTGACAGATTAAAGTTTTATAGGGCTCTGTCACACATACTTAGTATTATTGTATTTCTCCAGATTAGTTAAGTATACCAAGACACAACTGCACATTATCTGTTCTCTAGAACAAGCAGGATAGGCAATGCCTCCTATGGAAGAGAGGGTTAAGTATAACAAAAAGCATTTTCAGATATAGTCACAAATTTCTCATGTAATTGTCAGAGCCTGTGATGGAGAGAAGTTGTACAAAATCAGTTAGTTCCCCATTAGGCACAGCCCTCATCAGTATTCCACTTCCTGTTACAAAAAAGACCTCAAAGCATAAAGACATCACTCTAAAGCTCATAAATACACATACAGGAGCAGAACCTCAGCTTGGCATCAAGTGCATTTCCAGTCCAGATCCCTTTTCTTTAAAGGAATGTATTTTTGTCCTTAACTCAAAGGATGTTGTTGGACACTTGATATGGATTTGGGTGGTCAGAACACAAAATAGGTAAGGTGACCAGATGAGTTAGGCTCTGTCACTGCCTGTCCTGCTGTCCAAGGTTGTCATGATCCAGGTGTGTTCCATCAGCCAGTGATGCTGTCAGCATGGGAGACACCCATATGCCGAGGACTCATACTGCCAGGCACTTGGCAGAGTGATCTTGTTTCTCCATGACTACTGTGCCATCTACGCATCTGGAAAGGCAGAAATGATGCTGTGGGAGCTCAAACCATAGGGTGAAATCTGCTTGCCATGTCAAAAGCCTGAATTTGGCATTCATTTGCAGAATGGCTTTCTCCTCACACAGCAAATCAGAGGTCATCTGGTGGATGGGAAATTCTGAAGTGAGAAGGAAGCTCCAGTTCCTGATGGCAGTGCTTGCTCCCAAGTGTGGTTTTAAATCAGGAGGCATTAAAGGCTTATTTTTAGACTTGGTGAAATTTAAAGACTATCTTGTTTAAATATATGTGCATAATATTATCTGCCACTGATCTGAACATTGCATGTTTCTCACTAAATACGTGGCTCTAATCTTGGTCAGTAATAGTTAATGGAAAGGCTTCCCTGCCCTAACTGCAGTTGAGATTGCCAGCCTGTGATTTCCTCAGGACAAGATAAAACTATTAGCCAACGCTGTTGTGGAGGGAACAGATTGGTTAAGCATTCACTGAAAATCAAACTAAAGGTTGGCCTGTAGCTGTGTATTATGTAGGTAAGACACCTTTGGAGCTTACAGGAGATCACATAGCTCAGCCTCTATAATTGTAGATGAAAGCGTTGTTTACGTATATTTACACCGCATTTCTTCAACATCAGGCCTCTGTGAAGGTACCCAATGGCTTAGAGAGCTTACATTTCTACCAAAATTAAAGTAAGGTTGGGGAGTTTAGGTTTGGCCTTCCTTTGCCATCATCCTTCTAAGCCT